TTGTTACTGATGTAACATCAGAAAACTTCTTCTAAGAATACATTCAAATCTAAAATTCTTGAATCTGTTAAAGTAATCAATTAAATGAATTAAAATTATCCAAAGAAGTAAAAAACTAGGCTTAAATTAGACCTTTCTCGACGAGAGATTTATTATTTTAAGACTAAATCAAAAAAAGCTTTCTAATTTTTAGAATTAATAAATATCTATACCAATAATTGATAAGTAATAATAATGCTTAATCTTATACTATATTATTCTTACATAATATTAAATAGACTTAATATGAAGCATATCTAACCTGAATATTCATGTCATCTTCTTCTATATCACTTAGTAATTATTAATTCACTAAAAATTTTTTCGGCGCAATTATTCATCAAAAGTTACTGAAAAGTTTTTAAAATCACTTCTGATTTCAAAATTAACTTTCAATTTTTATAATTCATAATTCGAGTTGTAATTAATTTAAATAGCACTACACTACTTCCTAACTTTCAAATTTCAATAAATTTTTTTAACAAAAATTTAAACATTTGTATAAAATTTGAATGAATCTAAGAATTTCTAATGCTTTTTTATTTCAAATATTTCAATATTTGCACAAAATATTAAAAAAATGCTTTATTTGAAGAGATAAAACTTGCAAAATGATATCTGTTCGAACCAATTATTATTTTTCAATTTTTACACAAAAAAAGAGAAAACTTTGCAAGCGTTTAATGCTATTAAGCGAGCAAAAATTAATTTTTGTTACAACCTTCCAAAACTTTAAAACTTTACACTAAATCAAAATTTGTTTAAATTCTTAAATACAAAAAGATAAGCATAAATTATAAATACTGACTAAAATCTTTTTTAAAAACAAAACATTTATTATTTGCATAATTTTTCTAACAAAAATTGAAATATTCATATAAAATTTACTTTGTAATTTATAATTTGCATAAGTTAATTTGCATAAAAGTACCACTGGCTTGAATTCATGGCATAAATATCAGCACATTTTATTGTTTTCATCAAATAGCTCTATGGTACAGCTAATGTAAATCTGGCAAGCACAATTGTTAGCTCAAGTTTTGTTTACAAGTTAATCAGTCTGCTGCTCATATGTATACAATTAGCCTTTTGACCTTTACACTTTAAACTTTTGTTAAAAGCGAAAAGAGAAATAAACTGCCTAAGCAATTGTTTTTTCTTTTTCAAGTAAATGTGCTTTAAGTTATTTATTGTTTTGCAAGTTTTCTTCTCTTTTTTACGAATTTATATTTTTCCTTTTTTTACTAATTTCTTCAAATCTTATTTAATTAATCATTATATTAATTAATCTTAACTTTATCAATAATAATATAATGACTTGCATCCAAAGTATCACAAAATAATTTAGACAGACAATCTCTCAAAAATGAAACCAACTATTTGCTAAAAATATTAATTATTAAAGTAATTATTTAATAATTAATTAATTTGAGTTTAAATCATTTTGGTCAACTATGTTTTTAAACTTTTACTTTGTAGATATTTTTATATGTATTAATTAACTAGTTATTAATTATTTTAAAAAATTAAATTTCAGTTACTTCCGTTTTAACTTTAAGTAATTAAAATAAAAAAAAATAATTAATGAAAATAAATATTTGATATTTCAGCTGCATTAACTATTAAAATGAGATCATATTCTATTTTCAAGTAACAAAGTTCAAGAGTTCGATAGATTTTGTCTCATCTTGTTGTTTTCAGTCAAAACTTCTGCTCGTCAAAGTAAAATTAACTTCGAATCATTAAATAAACTTAATATAAAGCATATCTAAGCTAAACATTTATTTATATTCTTCTATATAAGTTAGTAATTACACATTTATTGAAAATTATTTCTGCGCAATTATGCATCAGTAAATTCCTGAAAACTTTTTAAAATCACTTGTGACCTCAAAATTAACTTTCAACTTTTATAATTCATAACTTGAAATTTTAATTTAAATAGCCGTACACTGCTTGCTAGCTTTTAAATAGCACTACACTACTTACTGGCTTTTTTAATTTTTTAAACAAAAATTTAAACATTTGTAAAAATTTTGAATGAAATTGATAATTTTTAATGCTTTTTAATTCCAAATACTTTAATATTTGCACAAAATGGTAAAAACAAATACTTTATTTAAAGAGGAAAATTCAATTCAAATTTTTTAAAATAGATCAAAATACAAAATCACTAAAAATCATATTTACTCATATTTTTTTAAACAATGATTTATTCGTTTGTGCATTAAATTCACAATAAAGTTTTTGTAAGTAAATTGATTACTGAATTATAGACTTTAGATTTCAAGTAGTAGTTTCAATCACAACTGATAACAATCAAACTATTGATAATTTTTACTAAAAAGCTTATTTGAGACGAAAAAGTACAACATATTACTTATTACTTTTGTATCACATGCTTGCAAGTTTCATTTTTTTCAAAATTTGTAATTCTTTTCAATCTATAATTGATTCATTCATGATGCCTTGCAACATTTTGATCTTTGTATGATTTGTGAAGCCAAATTATTAATCATTCTTTGTTCTGTATGAAACCATTCAACTTCGAATTAATTTTTTGTCATATGGACTGAAATCTAATTGCTTGTTATATAGATTTAATATCTTATTCTCATAAGCTGATTGCAATAAACTAACCATTAGTTAAAGGAATTAAGTCTGATTAATTCAATTTGAAAGTGATTTAACTTTGAGGATATGTAAAATTACACTTACTATTGGCATTAAAGCGATAGCTATATAAATTTAGTTTAGCAGTGAGTTGATCTATTATTCTGCCTTGAATTCCAGAGCAGATAGTCAAACTCTATCAGAATGCCATGAAAAAATGATTAGAAGGAACGAATTACGACATTATTCAGATGTATGCAAGAAGGCCTATTTTTACGCCAAATCCTAACTACTTTTTTAAATTTTATTCTGAAAGAAATAAATTTATCTCACATATTTACATATATTTTATATTTCAGATCATTTTTTACTTCCATATGGTTTTTATTATTCAATACGTCTTGTTTTTTTATGATATTTTACTCTCACTTTTACTTTAAACTTTCTACAAGTTTACATTCTGAATATATATATTCCGTCCGCAATAATAACTTTCATCATTCCATATTTTAATTATACTAATTCGTAATATAAATAAATGATGCAAGAATTTTACACTGTAATTCTCAAAATTTGTCACAATCGTGACAGAATTTTTTTCAGATTACTCTTCAGTTTCGACATTCTAAAAGTAACAATACGTATCACTTTTTTATGACGTTAATAACGAAGATTCTGAACCCTATCATAATGGTTGAGAATCATAGTGTAATCGAGCCATTATAATAATCACTGTTTTAATATTCAAAAATGACAAAAGTTATGCCCAAAAACTTTTGACATTTGAACAAATATATGTTCCTAAAGAGTAGAACGAAATGAAATAAATATATTAATTCAACTCATATTTGTTTGCAAGATCAAAAGTTACGTATCTGCTAGCAACCTCAATAAATTTTATTTTCAAAGTTACTTTTTTGTTCACTTCATATGAACTTATGCTTTGATTTAATTTTTTTAACGTTATTTGCAATTATCTCTACTAATTCAAAATATTTACTAACATTTCATGAGCACTTTTTGATAGTATTTTACGTCAATAGAGCTTTTTTCCAATAGATTCTGATAGCTTCTTGCACCTCATTATTTTACTTATTTCAAATATCAACAAATTTTGACCTTTTATTATTTCATTTAGCGATTAACAGAAAATATCTTGGTTCTAATACGTAATAAGTTGTAGGACATGATGCTAAAGATCTTAAGCATGATAATACTATATATAACAGTATGCTGTTTGAATGAGAGAGGAAACGCCAATTTTGTAGTTATGACTTTCAATACCTGGGTATCTGGCACCAATGTAGTAAACGGTACCATGAAAATCGTTTCTCATATCAAAAGAATCAACCCGGATGTAGTTGCCTTGCAAGTCAGTTCCTGAAATATTACATGTATGATTCAAACATGCAATCCTTTCATTTAACACCAATAAAGATCAAATTACATTTATCAATTACTTAATTCTAGAATAGATAAACTTGAGATCAAAAACCAAACTGATAGAACTAGAAGGCAATTACCTTTTTGACCAAGTTAGTATTTGAAAAGCATTTCATTAACAAATAATGCAAAAATACAGTAATTCACTACAATAGTGCACTAAACAGTAATATCGAAAAAAATTGGAAAAGACTTTATGAGATATATTTTTCTTTGTTCAATTAAATTCATAGGAAGTATACAACTCACAATTCATGGCCGAAATTCTCAGTTGTCTTGGAATACAGTGGTCAGGAGCACTGAAGAAAGATGAATCTTATCCTGATACTGCGATCCTTACTAGGCATCAAGTAAGATCCATTTAAATCTCATAAAAAATCATCTAACAATAATTAAATCAAAGTGATATCCGAAATATTAAAAAAACACTTCGCTTATATAAAACATAACGTTAATTATTAAGTCAATTCTAATCACTAAGCGATTACTCTTGTCTATGAAATTAACAATAATCGCATTTATTTGAAGTTGAGTAAAGAACCGATTCACCAACTAAGTCACGGTTTAGGCACTCGAATTTACATTCCGAAATTGCAGCGAAACGTTAGCATATGGAACCTTCACTTGGATTACCGGTATATTTTAAGTGAAAATATTTTATTCCAAATTTTTGGATTTACTTAGAGAAAAATTCATCCACATCCTTGTTGTAACGTAATTATACTGATGTCGTGTCAAGTAATTGTGGAAGAAATTTAACTAGAAGCATCAAATCCTGCTTTAGAGATCCTGTGAAAATTAGCAAAATGACGATATGAGGCATTAAATATATAAAAACCACTGCACAAATTTTTAGTATCAAAAATTTGCTTGAAGGCTCTGTAAAATGTCAGTAATGCGTAATTAAGAGCTTTCAAGTAAGAGCTCATGAATCTCCGGCTTTAAACTATATTAGTTTGAAACTATAAACATAATATTTTTTATGAAATTATTTTAAGTCCAAATTGACTCTACAATAAATTAATTATTTCACATGCTTTGTTCTTAATAATTTCTGATTTTTAAACTTTCATTTAATTTACATTTACAGTTCTTACGGACCATATGCAGCATTTAATAAATTGGTAACAAAAAAAAGTCAAATTCGAGCTGGTGAATTGTTAGCTGGAGGTTTTTTCATTTTAGCAGCTATTTATTAAAAAATTCTAAAATTTTCTCAAATGAAACTAATTCATTTCATGAATTTTGTAAGTTCTCAATCATTGCTATGTACAAATATGATCTACAATTTCAATTTCTTAATTTTTCTATTTTTTAGGTGTTTGATAGACTTAAATTTAGCCAAAATTATTATCAAATGTGTGTCCGAAATTCATAATTAAAATTAGGTCGTTTTGAAAATATACGAGAGCTGCTTAGCAATACACATTTCTATGATGACGTGAAAAATGCAGATGCTCAACCAGTAATTGTATGTGGAGATTTTAACAGTCCATCTCATCTCGACTGGACCAATGAGACAAAGTTTAAACTTTTTGTTGTCCATTTATGCGCGCAAAAACAAATTATTATTTACCCATTCTTCGACTTTTTTCGTTATATCAATGATTTTCTAAATAATAAACATTGAAAAAATTTTTTTGCTCTTTATTCAAACGAAAAAGCTAAAAAAATGCTCGAAACAATCAAAATACTAATATTCTTTGTAACTAAGAACAAAGTTAATAAAAAATTAGTGGTGCTTTGAATGACTAGAAGGAAGTATTTTGCATAAAGCTTACATATAATTCATAAATTTATGGACGTTTTGAAAATTTTCACTGCAAAATATAGTACTAATACAAACTTACGACGATTTGGTATCAGAGAAGTATATAAACGAGATCAAATTAAAATATTTGCATAATAAAAAAAAACCTTGCAAAATTTTTCAACAATCTTATTAATTTGGATTGTGTTCAGAAAATAACAGTAGATTAATTGAAGTACTTTATTCAGATCAATTCATGGAGATTGGGAATTTACATGGCCAGCAACAAAAATACTTCAGACACTAATGATTGATAGCTACCGACAAGTACATCCAGATGTGATTAAGCATCCCGGTTTTTTTTGCATGTTCTGATTCAAAAACTTGCAGATTTTTGTAATTCAGCTTACCAGGAATTTTAGCATTAAAATATATTTCGTTAGCAGAAATATATAGATGAATAGAATCTTTTTGATCTCTTAGTAATACTGGAAAAAATAATTTTGAAAATTGAAAATTATCGTCAGAAATGTACAAAAATATGCAGTCCTGATGTTTTAACAAATAAGATTTCAAGCAATCATTACTATTTTTAGAGGTTTAATAATCTTGAAAATTATTAGGCATAACCTGGTCAACTGTGGAAAAAATGAGCAGTGCCGGTTGGCAGTGGTCGATACCGGAACCACAGGACAGAATTGATTTTATCTTCTACCGTGGTCAGTCACTTAAACCTGTAAACTCCTACGCTTATCAAGGAAAAAAAGTTGTGCATCGTAAACCATATCATAAATATAATGACTATCCATCCGACCATTTTGCTGTTATCACTGTTTTTGAACTAAAATAGATATGATAAATATGGTAAAATTTTAGAATTCTGTTTATACTCAATTAAAATTAATCATTCCTTCACATTTCTTCGTTAGCTATTCGTAATGAGCCATTACCGTTAAATTGTTTTTCAGAAGTGATTTTTAGAATCAATTTGATTAACTTTTAATTAGTAAATAACAACATCTCTTTAATTACTAATAACAACAGGAAGAATAAATAGACCTTGTATAATAAAATTATTATCACACTTTTGTATGCATGCAAAAATTATAAATGCTCAAGATGAATTTTTCATACTGCAGTTTAATTTGAGTTTCAAGCAGTTGAATGCAATAATGATTGAATAAACATGCAAATAAATTTGTAGCAAAAATACTATGCGCATTGACAAAGTTTTCCAAAAATGATCTAGAAATAGAATTCAAAATAAGTTAAGAAGCAGAATTTAAAAAAAGTCAGTTCCCATTCAACATATCTTTATATCTTTTCGTGCTGCTTCAATTCAAATGACTGAATTCACACCAGTCAAGAATTAAATATATCTCTTAGAAAATATAAAATTTATCTCGATTCATTTTAAATTTTATCAAAGAAATTTAAAAAAATATTTGCTGTAGTTGAAGTCCGATTTGCCATTAGGATAAATAATACTAGTATTTAGAGCAGTAATTATTAAGGTTATTACTATTCTTTTTAATGCTACTACTATAACTATTATTATCTGTTCACAGTAACTTAATTAAATAGTTATGTATTATGCTGTAGACTAAGTACATGCTAATAATCACTACCAGCAATCTACAATATGTACAGACAGTCAAAAAACAATCTTTCATATTGTAATATCATGATTACAGAATGAGAATTGTACAACACAGTCAAAATAGTGGAAAGTATAATAAAAGTAGTAACCGATTTATAAAACAGATAAAAAGTATGCCTTCGCACTGCAACATGATAATTGAAGGTAAATGAGAGTAATGTATGTAACTCCTACAGTAATTACTGCATGTACTCAATCTATAAACGTGCGTAATATACTTTCCAACCTCATGGATAAACGTGAGTAATCTTATTGAGGAGTAACTGTATTATATGTGGTGATAATGAACAGAACAGAATAAGTTGAAGTAAAACTATGAAATGGAACAATTTTTTTTAATTTATGACAAATATTGAAAATTTGACAAGCAAATCCAGTGATACGTTTGTGGCAATTCAACGAAATTTTATACAAAAATTTTGCTAATCAGTTAATAGTGTAGCAGTTAATACAGAATTTATGCTCACAGACTTATCTACAGACGTGCGTAAATATACTCTCCGACGTCATGTATAAACATGAATAATCCTGTTCGTATACATGAGTGATAATTAGATAGCACTTACCTTTGGAGCTGTTTACACAAAAAGTACTGGTTTTTGAGCAACGTTTGCTTATACGTAAAGTCCGTAAATATAAAAGTCATTTATATTTATGAAATAAATGAGTGCTACAAAAATACGCCATCAATTTCCTCTTCGCATTTTTTTAATACTTATCTATAAAAAATTAAGTAATCAGCTTACTTATAGGAATATGGCAAACGTAAATAAATGAACATCACTTGAGAGAAATAAATGCTCCGTAAGCAACTGCCACCATACTTACGTTACTTATAGTACCATTACTACTGATTACTACTAACAGGCGTGAGCAAAATTTATTTACTTCCGTACTTATTTACTTGAACATAAAAATACTTTAGACAAAATCAATATTCCAGACGTGAAATTTTGAAGTGCATTTACGTTCTTATAAATAGTAATTAGAAGAGTGAATGGAGACTTGATTCAGTATTTCGCAATCGTTGAAAATGGAGTTGCGAAAGAACATTCTAGAAAAGGTAGCAGCTAATGACGGGAAGATGAATTGCTCAATCAGTCAGTCTTTGCTTACAAGTATATTTCGGTCCTGTCAAAACTTTGAGTAGTCTTATTTTTAAACTTTCTGATGAGTTTGAAGTGCGCGCAAGTATGGGACGTGTGCGCATGTAGTAGTAGCATTTTGATCTTCCTTATGAATATATTTTGAGATTCCACGTATATTTCGAGATTTCACGGAACTGCAATATTTTTCCTTCTGAGGTGTTATCATAAATCAGCGCTTGCTTTATCATAAAAATAATTGTTCCTTTACAACAATTTTTCATTACAACACTTGTATTATTAAATTATTTATTAGCTAAAAATATGAGCAGACTAGTGAAGTTGGTTAAATGCTTAAAATATGCGTCAGCTACCTGATTAAGTGTAATTAATATGTAATATTACATATGTGATATCTCGACAGAAATATAGATTATTGTGGATTACTACCAAAATATCACTTCGCTTTACTAAAAATTTTAAATTATATATTATAAAAATTATAAATTATAGAAAATGACTTTTATTGAAAATAAATACTTTTTTTCAAATACAAAATTGCTTTATTTGCAATGTAAATATTAAAAAAAATTCAAGACTTTTAGATGCTCTTATTTGAGAATGCTAAAAAGAGAGGGTAATTTAAGTGAATGGCATTCTAATTTTTAACTCAAAGTACTTCCGTAATAATACAATTTAACTTACGCTAAATGATTACTTTCCGTGAGATTTTTTATACAGTTTCATGCCTTAAGCATGAAATATAACGCAAAAATCATTTCTTAATAGTCTGTACTCAATGAACAATTCAAATTGAAATTTAATATCGTTGTAAATCGTTTGTAAAATATGGTTTTTATGCAATTTGAAAAAAAAATCCCATATTGAAAAGCTAAATATACTGACGCATATATCCAAAACATCATTATAAAATGTTTCGATTCATGCACTTGATCAGTCAGCTCTTTATTCAATCATATTTTTGAATTTTCAGCGTTAAAATTGTATTCAATTACTTTTTGTAGGTATTAGAATTAGTGCAATTATTTATTGGAAATAAAATAAATCCAGAAAAATTTGTTTTAATGTGTTTTAAGTTCGAATTAGACTTGTCTTAAATGTCAACCAAAATTTTATCCGTGCATTACTATCGAAATAAACTGGGCGCTGCGTGTTATGATCAGCAAACAACTACAATTTCCTTATTAACCGATCTAATGGAGGATGAAGATGACTTCCGGATGGCCCATTCCTGTACGCTTTTCAGCAGTACTGTTATAAATGATATGCATATTTCTATCGTACTGATCAAAGAAACTAGATTCAAATAATGTGCAAAACACATTTTAGCTAGATAGACATTCTTCCAAAATCTTGATGGAACTGCCTAGAGTGTAATCGTTTTTTGCTCGGTAATTTTAATTGCCCGCCGAACTGCACCACTTAACTAATTCAAATGAAATTGATTAGTGTTTAGGTCAATTTAAAGTAATTTCACTCATTATAATAAGTTTGATTTATTTCAGTGCTTTTGCAACTGGAACCATCAATCATAATTGTGAGTAAAACACAGGATATCAATCTTCTTGCTGTACTCGACAAATTTTGTTAGTTTTTTACTGTATGTTTTAGTTGGATAAGAATGTCATAAATCTAAAATAATATACCAGTTTTTTTTTTGCTTCTACAAGTTTTTGAATGAAAAATTTGATCTAATATTGGAACAATGGCTGCCTTATGTATATTTCCATTTGCAGAATTATGTTTCTAGTTTCAGAGTTCTAGATTTTTGGACAAGAAAGTTTTAAACCCAAAAAACAAAATTCTAAAATTTTACTTATGACAGCAAAAAAAATTGAAAATTGTCGTTTGATTACTGGATGATTTGGATAGGTACCGTAACAGATAGTAACACTGATAGCAGTCGACAGAATGACAGAACCACAGAAGATAAGGAGAGAAACATGGAGAAAATGGATGACGAAGACGAACATAATGATGATGGTGAGGATGACGAAACTGAGGAAAAACGAATAGTAGCTTTGCACTTGATGCCAAGCGTTGCTTACAGTTTGTCATTTCATCTTATATCGTTACAATGTTTCATGAACTTTGGTTACATTAAATTTTTGAAAGAAAAGTAGTACTGCGAATGCTCCCGGAATTTATCGATTATTAAAAATGTTCTCTTCATTCATATAATTCCTTTCGTTTTGTTCAAGGATGAATAG